GATCTTGAACAAGTCATAAACTCTTTTGGCATAAGTTTCCTCATCTGAAAAATGAAGGCACTGGACTAGAGAAGGACTCTAAAGTCCTTTCCAGTTCTAAATCTGTGATCTCTCACCCTCTGACTAGATGAGTTCTAGAGTCTTCCCAGCTCTAAATCTCTGGTCCTATAAGCACAGGCCAGAAATATTATTTTTAGAAAAGGACCTCAGTAGAATCTCTAACTGATATTTCTTCCTAAAATGATATATCCAATAATTTACAGAGTCCTGTTAATTCTCTCTCCACACCATGGGGCTGGAAAGATCAGCAGATTTGATGTCAAGACCTAGGTGAAAATACTGGCTCTGCAATGACTTGAACTCTTTGACCTTGGGTAAGTCACTTAAGTCAAATCAAGAAGTCATCAAACATTTATTAAGAGTCTACTATGTTCTAGACCTTGCTCTAAGTCCTGAGGATGAAAAAAAAATCATCTCCTCTCCAAATCATCCCTGGTTGCAAGAAGCTCACACCCTAATGGGGGAGATAACACGCAAACAACTATGTGCAAATAAGATATATACTGGGTAGCTTAGAGGTAATTAATTAAGGAGAGACAGTAGCATTGAGGGGGATTAAGAAGGTGGGATTTCCACTGGGACTTGACAGAAGCCAAGGAATCCAGATGGAGATCAGGATGGAGAGAGTTCCAGGCTTGGAAGACAGCCAGTGAAAATTCCCAAAGTGGGAGATGAGCGACTTGTAAAAGCAACATCAAGAAAGCCAGTGTCACTGGATAAATGAATTGTAGAGTATGCGGGGCGGAGGGAGACAGGGTAAGGAAGGGGTAGGGTAAGGCGTAAGAAGATGATAAAATTAAGAGAGGGCTAGGCTACCAAGGGCTTTAAGAGACAAAGTATTTCATATCTGATTCTGAAGTTTCTTGAATAGAGTGGGGGGTATAACATAGTCAAAACTTCACTTCGGGAAGATCGCTTTGTTGTAAATGAAGTCCAGAGTGGGAAGAGACATGAGCCAGGGAGACAAACCACAAGGCTATTTCAATAATCTGGACAAAACTTGATGAGGGTCTGCTCTAGGGTAGTGGCAGTATCAGAAAAGAAGAGGGCAGGGGCATAAATGAGAGAAATTATGAAGGCAGAGTCTAGCAACAGACTGGATATGGGGAGCGGTGAGGGAGAATGAGGCATCAAATATGACACTGAGGTTGGAAGCCCGGGTGATGGAGGATGGTGGTGCCCTGGACAGTAATAGAAAAATTAGGAAGGAGGTGGCGGCTTAAAGGGAAAGAAAATGAGGTCCTTAGTTTTCTCATTTGTAAAATGTAAGAATTGTACTTGGTGACCTCTAAAGATCCTTTTCAGCTTTAGATGTCTGAACAATTCAATTCCTTTGCTTAAAATTTTTAGTGCCCCCCCATTTCCTGCCAAATAAAGTATAAACTTTTCATTACGGCATTTTGGACTACTTTCACATTATGACTTCAAACTACTTTTATAACCTTATTTTCTATTTTTCTCATCTTTGTAATTTTACTTTTCATATAAACTATTCACTCTATCTCTTCGCTCATGTTTTCTCTCTTGTCTAGAGTGGAACCCTAGAGTCCACTCCCATCTAAAATGTTAAGATCTCTTTTTTTTTCAAAACTCAAATCAGATTTCTCCTATCAGTTTACAAGAACATCTTCTTCATATATATCACACCTTTTCTCCTATTAGGGTTATTTAGATACTTATATTCCTCCTATTTTTCCTCAGGAAGGTTGTAACTTTCCTGAAGTCAGTGTCATATTATGTATTTGTGTTCCCATAACCTAGGCCCTAGCACCAAGTTTCTGAATCTTTATTTGTTTTTCTTTTTGTCATGGGAAGTCTAATGAGACCTATGGAACTCTTCTCAAATTTAAAGACAAAGGATTATAAAGGAAATCAATTATATTGGCATATGGTTATCAAAATATTCTTTAAAAATATTGCATGGGGGGCAGCTAGGTGGTGCAGTGCATACAGCACCAGCCCTGAAGTCAGGAGAACCTGAGTTCAAATCCGTCTTCAGACCAAACACTTTACATTTACTAGCTACGTGACCCTGGGCAAGTCATTTAATCCCAATTGCCTAAAAAAAATTGATTAATTAAAAATATTGCATGGACGTTAAAACTCTCTGGGTTAGGATATAAAAAGGTACCTTAAAATACTTGTTGAATTGTTTTAAAAGTAATCCACATGCGAAAAAGGAACTCCTTGGCTGGCCAAAATATACCCTTTCCAGAATTCTCAATTCAATACCTTATCCTTGTGTAACTTAAGTATACATACAAACAGATGGGCAGTCTGATAGTCATGGATACAAACAGACTTATCATATCTTTAAACCATTTGTAAGCATGAGTATCAAAAAGAGGATAAGTTCAAGAAGAGGTGAAACATAAAATTAATCCATTTTATTCTCTGCTAAAAGCAAAATGTACCTCTCCCTCCTCCTTGCCCCCACCTCCAATGCCAAAATGATGGGCAAATTAAGGCAAACATTGCAGTAGCAAGAAACCGAAATAGTCAACAAATTTGATCCTAGGACCAGAAATAAATGAGAATGCTGGTGGTGTGAAATGAATTGATAATTTACCAAATGGCTTCCTAATGGTCTGAAAGAGTTAATGCAGATTCTCTGAGTGTCTGATGGGGTCAGGGAAACCAAGACACTGAAAAAGGATGGATCAACTTGTTTAATCTCATTGAATAGTGAGTTCAGGATCTGTTTTACATCATGAAAAAAAAAACATGCACACTTTTAAACTATTAAAATTGTCACAGATTCTTTTCCAGAAATGATCCTTAACTACTCATGACAGGCTTTACTTACATCTAACTGTGAGCTAAGCAGCGAAGTAGGATGTAGTCTCAAAACAAAATAAAATTAAATTAAAAACTAATAAACAAAAATTGACTTAGGACACTATCAGGGAAATTTCCTCCAATGACATTTGTTTAAACGGTGTCAACTATTAAAAAATAAAAGATTAGGGTAAAATATACCTTCCCATGGAACATTAAAGTTTGCTTTAGCTACTGTAAGTAAAATTATTCATTTTAAATATTGGAGCATTTCTGTGAATGTCAAACCACCTGACCAACTCTACTCACTTTTTCTATGAGTAATCCTGTAGCAACAGTGCCATAAAAGCAAAGGACGGCTAACAGAGGGGAAAAGAATCAGAGAAGTCAAAGTAAATCATTAAAACTATGTAGTCAGATCCTTATTCTCCATAACTCAAAAAAGAAAACACAATTTAGTATGAATCAAGAAATTTATGCAATGTCTTTACTTTAAGAGTTGCACAGAGTATTCCATAGGCTTCTGGTGATTGGTCATCATCGTACCAAGCATCTAACACTACAACTCTGGTTAGTTGGCCTGAGGTTTCTGCCTCAAGTGGAGGGCCATACACAGACTATCAGCTTTCAAAATAATAATACAATATTGCAATTTGATTTTATAAATGTATGGTTTAAACAAGAATTTTGGGCTTATTTGATTGAAGCTTTCCAAGAAGTCCAACTCTAAGATCACATTTTAACCCAGATCCTAGATGAAGGGAAAAAAAATTACAATAAGAAGAGTTTTGATAATTACACTACCTGGGGTGTCTAAGTATATACATATAACAGTGCTTAGCATGCTACCTGGCACAGGGTAGGCACTTAATAAATGCTTTTAGTTTCGTTGACTGATCTGTAATCTGCTTAAAACAACTTATTTCCTTCTTTCATTTAAAATAACAGGAAGGAGAAGAGGATGAATATGTCCTTCTCTCAGGCATCTCCACCTAGGAGGCATGCTAGAGAAAGCTCATGGAAAAGAAACAGCATTAATTTGGAAAGGTAGTCCTTCTTCTCCTCTTTATTCAAACAACCCCAAAGGTTTTTACTGTCATTATTTAATGAGTGTTGTGAGTAAGAGGCAGTCTTAAAGATTCTTAGGAAATAAAACGATATCTTAGAAAAATCTAGTGCACACACTTTCGATTTTTGTTACTTACTCTGTTTCTTCTTTATTTTTTTTTATTTAACTTACCTAGACAAGTGCTAGGGAATTCGATGATGCCCACAGACTCAATTATCAATTACTTTTAGATGCCATAAACACACTCTGTGTCTTGGAGTATTACAGATCACAGGATAAGCTGAAGAATGTTGTTCTAAACTTAATTTTTAAATCTACTATTGTGTTCTCATGGAATTCTGTAGTCAAAAACACTTTTCAATGTTTACAGTGTTTGCCATTATAAGAAGGTGTAAGAGCTTGTTTCTTACACTTCCTACAATTTATGAGGCAACTAAAAATTGGAAATTTGTACCAAGGAGCAGCAAAATGAGGGTCAAGTGCTACTCCCAGTGTATAGTAAGCAGCATTCATGATTCAAAATATTCCAATCATAAAAAAGCATAATAACCATTTTAATATCAGGCAGGATATTTCTGGCTTTTTTCTTATGGCTGTGGATGAAATTTCAGGATTGTCCATATATGGTAATGTGTCCAAATATCAACAACTTTATTCTTCATCCATAGCATGAATTCATTCAATGTTCAATTTAAGTGAATAATGGGGTTCACCCTGAATCCCTTCTGTGATAGGGAATGAGGTAGTGGGCTGTTTTTATATTTGTTTCAGTTTTTTCCATTTGGCTTCTCTTTGAATAATAACTTTTAGATATTTCTGATATTATTGTCACTTATAAACACACGAAGAAACGTGTTTTTTCCCTCAAATTATCTTCACATATGAGAAGTATGAGTTTTATAATTTCAGTGGGAAAACAAAAACTTCATAGGCTTATTTTTACCAAAATGTCATACATAATGTTCATTCAACTACTTAAGAGTCAGGGCAGAATTGTAGCCTTCTTTATCATGAAGATTGATTTTCAAGAATAATCTTTTCATGCTTTAAAATCCCACAAACAAAAGTTTGTCCATGGAAAAATAGAGATATATTGAATACTAAAGTCCTTTATTCAACAACACAGAAATTTCACAAAAAACAACTTTACTGGGCAAATTGAATGTGTTTTTTTTCTTTTTTACAATTTTGTACATGCCCCATAAGTGATTTTTTTAAAATAAATACACGGTTTTCCAAAACTGTTTTTCATAATTGCACAAGCATACATACACCTTACACAAATATCTGTTAGAAAATTTAATCGATAACTGCACAGTTCAGAAATAGGAGAACACTGTGAAAGGAGTACATTTTTTTTTTGGTGGCCCACATTTCTGAAAAATCTCCAACTTCCCTGCAGTTGTGAAAATGGAACCCTTGCTAATGTAGTAGCTGTCTTTTATTCACTAGGAATACAGATCTCAGTGTGAAACTGCCAAATTTAATAAAAAACAAAATCTGAAACATTTAGCTGTTACATGAAAACCAACTGTTTGATATCACTATGCATCTAACCATGATCAAAGACCCACTACGGCTTTTTGCTGAATGCCTTCAACCCTGGATGGTGTGTTCACTTAACAACTCTCTTTTTTCATTATTTGATTACAGACATTGTCAGCATAAAGACTTTATATGATTTAGCATTAATTGTATGACTTACATGCCAGGGGTTCTGATTACAGGGACTATTCCTTTCTCTTAGGGGGTGTTTAATACTAATTCTCTGTAAGCTCTGTTCTCTACCTAAGAGTAGGTTGAAGGAAAAGAAGTAGGTTTCAGGGTCACGCTATCACACAGGTGAAGAAGGAATCTTTGGAAACCCTTAGGATAAGGGTGAAGAATCAGCTCCCTAAGACCACTTTGTGGCAGTGCCCCACCTTTCACATAGCCAAGCAGCTCAGGGAAGAAATGAAATATGATCTGAGGGCTCCATCCATTCACAAAGTTGCTAGATGATCCTGTTGAAGTAGAAACATGTTCCCTGTCTTCACTACCATCCTTTAACTCTGTTTTCCTCCACCTAACTATGTTAGTGGGAGTTTCTCTCCCCACTGGACCTAGGGGAACATACCACTCTCTTAGGACCATACCTCTTTTGCAACCTTTCCACTCAATAGCTTATTTAGTGTACTTTAAAAAAAAAGGGTTGTCTTTAATATATACACCCATAATACTTCAGAATTATTTTCTGAATTTTCTTGATGTCCCCCCCCAAAAAAAAAGGAATAACAATGATGATGAAATCTTTTACATTTCGCAAGTATTTTGGAATCGTGAGAAAATCAAATTTTTAGTTATAAACTTAATATACAATGCTCCAATATACAAATACCTAATCTGTGATGAGAAAAATGGAAACCAGAAAAGGACTGTCTTTCTTTAAGTATTATCAACCAGAATGCTCTACACCCACTACAACATAGTTTTATTTTGTCAAAACATAAAAATTATATGATGTCAAGGAACAACTATCAATAAAAAATGTATGCAAGAATCAAAGAAAATCTACCCTTGTCTGTTTTAATAATTAACAGGTTTCTCTTAAAATTTTTTGAATTGACATGTAAAACACCACATTTACAATATACAAATCCATCAGTTCTTTCAAAAGCAAAATTTAAAAACACAAAAAGACATAAAACATCAGGGCATTTTAGACAGTGAATACATTGCTGCTGATGTCTCTGTATGGTATCATACTCCTAATGTAGCCTGAACTGAATTTTGTTTTACTTCTGTAATGACAATTAAAAAAAGATGCAAAGTAAGTGTATCAACTAACTGCGCAAATCAGGCTATGCTCCATTTTAATTGTTCAGCAATTTGGTTAAGAACTTACAGAGTGAGCTCTCATTGGTTCCACAGTAGAAACAGAGGTCCTGACAAAAATGTCTAAAATGAAACATCATATAGAAAACAACCAAATTAATGAATAGAAAGCATTTTGTCTTTATGGTGATTTTATTGTATTTTTTCTAAAACATTGAGAAGTGAAACACACAAGGGGTTTACTTCAGAAAGGATATTGCCCCTGAAGACTTGCAGGCATTTGATGTCAGATTTTATGAAAGCTAGGGCAAACCTTTTTGGCTTTCCAATATTTGTTTTAAAATTCATCAACTCACAAACACATTAATATTTGTCCACTGACCACACAGTGCCTCCTATGCTTTCCTGGCCCTTTGTGCCACTCCCAATTTAAACCTACAACTTAGTCCTATAAAATCCATTTGCTATTCTAATGTTCACTGATTCCTTCCACCACTCAGTCATTCTTGCTGTCTCCAAGCTGCATTGGCAAATGAACCTCTCTGCTAACTATTTATTACTTTTTTTTTCATCAAGTGAATGAGGTGGGAGGGGAAAGGAAGGAGATGAGAGAAAGAGAAAGTCTGTGGATTGAGATAACCCAGTGATGAAAGGGGAAAGGGTGGAAATAACATGACAACTTTGAACACTTTATGTATTTAACCTGATTTGCTCCTTTCCCTCCCTCTCCCCCAAATATTTTGGGTCACTCGTGAAGCAGATAATTGTCATCATCCTCTGTGGTACAAATTAATTTACTACATAGCTATCATTCCAAACACTTTTTGTATTGATGAAATGGCCTATACATCCATAATTGTTATGATAATGATGAACCACAAATAAAGGAAAACATCAGTCCTGTGAGATGTAGATTCTCTGTGTTTCCATTCCAGATTGAATTTTTCATATTCCATGTAGTGTGGCAATGTCTTCTCAGGAACCAATAGGTTGGTTGAGTAACTGGAATGGGAGTGGATTTAATGGGACTTCCACTGGGGGACTACATTAGAAGATCATTGGTGCCACCAGGTAGGCTCAATGGAGAGAAAGATGTAAAGGGATAAAGAGCCACATTTGTACATCTATGTTCAATTCATTGTTAGTTGATATGAATGTAGTCAGCCCTGCATAGCTGCAGAAGGCCTCAACTTACCTAAATTCAAAAACAAATCTAACCACTGAATATCATATATGGAGTTAAAATATTTTATAAAGTTTTCCTTTTACTATTAAAAAGCCTACTTTGTAGCCCATGGTAGGCAGTCAAGCAGGCACATATAGTCAGCCATGGATTCTTTTCCTAAGATATGGTGCTTTATTCATTCTGTATCCTAGAAAACACTTCTTTTAAAATATATAACTGCATGTCCTACTACTCTGAGTACTCCACCTTCCAGTGCAGTCAAAGGCAAGTCAACTATCCTAAGTACTTTGGAGATATCCTCTTCCATACAGCTCTTTTGTAAGCAATGCAAGTGCATAACCACTACTCTAATATAGTGCTCAAAAGATTAATTGAAAATTTTATAATGTCTTCCCCTTTTACAACAATACAACTGAAGGTAATTGCTAGATGCATCATAATCTTTTAATCTTGTAAAACTTGCCATCAAGTCTCTACAGGAGGATGCATGGCCAAACAGCTTTGCTGCTGCTACTGCTACTAAACAACTGGAAAAAAGAAAAATATATATTTAAAGCTAGAATTTATTGCTCCAGATTTGACTCGCAGAACCACACTGTTGTGTACAAACTGTTAATCTCCATAGATGCTCAGACGTGATTGTCTCCTTGTGTCTAAACACACAAAATACAAGCTGCTATCTGTACAGTTTACAGTACTGAAACACATATATTTGGAAAATGAAGTATAGATATGTACTTTGCAAAGATACATGATTTTACAGCAGGGGTTTACCCAAACTTATTATTCTTTTTTTATTTTACAGCCACTTTAAAAATAGACAACGACTTCACTAGTATAGCTAAGTTACATCAAAGAAAGAAATAATCAGTGTACTAATTGGCCAATTCCCCACACTCCCAGATTTTTTCATGTTGTGGTTTGTTGGTTTGTTTGTTTTTGAGGAAACCCCTATACATAAAATAAAATAGTATCTGAATATTTTCTTCAGTGGTGGACTAAGCAGTTTCTTAAAACAAGACTTTAGTTTGCCATTCACTTCCGACTGCCTTGAAAATAAGATACACTACACCTTTAAAAGAACCATCGGAATGCTTCAGCGCTGGGAACAGGTGTTCTCTATAAAAAAAAGCAAGAAAACAAGTTAAGCTTTCCTTCTATGGCAATACAAAATGAGATTTTTTTTTCTTTACACTTCAGCCATATTTTTTTTTAGTTAGTGAGATACAACATTTAATTTTAAAAATGCCATTTTAGGACATTTTTAAAAATCAGAATGGTGACTTTCTCCTGTTTTATTGAACAAGATATGCTTATATTAACAGTGGTGTGGAAAAAAATTTCTAGGAAATCCCTAAAAAAAATCATAGCAAGTAGTATACAGGGAAGGGAAGAGGGAGGGAATGACCCTGTATATGTGACTTCGGTCAGGATAACTAAGTAGCCAATGGAAGGCTGGTGCCTGTCTCCTTTAATGGCTTACAGGAAAAATGTACTATATTAATGAGAGCATCATCTTACTTCAAGCATAACAAAGACAATGAAGAAACAATCCTATCACTTGCCAGGCCTGTGCTGTTTAACCTTCTACACTGGCCTGTTTACTACTTATTATTACAGTTTAAAAGACTAACTCAGCGTTGGACCTCATTTCAGAATCAATAAGATAAATGAGAGTCCTATGCAGAAGTATTTCATGTTTAGTTACCTATGGAAACATGCACAAAATCATCTACTTTTTTATTTGACTTGGCCCAAAAACATCCTCACTCCAAAAAAAAAGAAAAGAAAAGAAAAAAACACTGACAGAGATTTAGCTAAAAAGACAAAACTGAGGGCAGAACATTTCAAGAAAAATGATGTTGACAAGGGGAATGCTATTTCTAAAATCATTCTAAAGCATATTTCTGTTCAGATACACTGAATGCACATTCTACCCAGGTACAGCATACTTTCAGAACCTAGTGCAGCCAGCTCTTCATTTTGAAGAATCTCTTTTGGGGTGCAATGACAACCAATAATTCGTTTCTTTTGAAAACATTTTTTCAATTAGTATATGTTCAGCAAAATACTATACATAAACTACTGAAAATTATGCAGAAACTAAAATATATCAGTCCCTCCAACCTAAAACATCTCAGACCCTCTGGGCCTACATTTTTTAAAACCTTGTAAACATAAGGGAGGCAGCACTGAGTAGCAAATAGAGATCTGGCCTTGATGCAAGAATGATCTGGGCTCAGGTACCACTTCTGACATATACTGACTGGTTGGGTAACTCTTTCTAAGGGTACTGTTCTAGTAAACTTTCTTAGACTATGCAAGACAAATAAAGTGCTGACCCAAACTGGCAGGGAGAATTTTCTTGCTTGGGAGATCCCTAGACCAAGAAAATACCAGGGTTAGTCACTATCCTTTTGTCTGCAGAAAAAATACACAGAAATTGTTCTATCTCAAAAATTAGAAAAAAAAACTGAAGTCATTCATTGATACTGGAGGGAATGTACCATCCTTTCATATTATTTTAAGAAAAGACAACAAATATTTTCCAAAAGACTAGTAAAGCATGCACCAAAAATATTCACCTACTAGAGGAAGATTCCTAAATGTTTCGTACGTATTCCAGCAACTTTGTAAAGTGCTGGTTGTGGTGCAAGTGTAAGGGCTCTGAACTCCATTCACATTGTTCACATGCAGCAAAGGCGGTTTCTAAACACCAAAGGTAAAGAAAAAAAAAGGGTATTGAAGGAATCGACTTAATCCTTATTGTCAAAGTATTTAATTTAATGTACATAAAAAGGGGCCTAGAAGAAGAGGAGATTCTCTTGTTAAATAATTGTCAATTATTCCCTGAGTAGCATCATGGATTAAATTGAATTGGTTATATCACCAGAATTTGAAAACATTCTTTCTCATTCCCCAAGCTCTGAAAATATTGAGTTTAATAAATCCTGCAGCATTAACTTACAATTACTATGAGTTCCTATCTTGCATAAACATAATCCAAAATACAGAATTTTCATTTATACCTTAACATTCAAAACAGCATAACACTATAATCCTCTTTATAATCCTTACCCTGTTTTATGTGGGATGTGTATATACGTGTGCACATTTGTAAATGTGTGCACGTGTGCACACCTGTATGTGGTTAAGAGACAATAGAGAAGAAAAGATAAAAAAGGGCCTATCTTGGGGTTGGGGTTATCTGAGTGAAAGTTCTGTCTCTAATAATACTCACTAATTTATGGACAAGTCACTTCACTTCTCAATGTCTGGGAGCTCTCTAAGTTACAAATGAGAGATGAGTGTGTCATCTGCATTGGTACAGAGAGTTTCCACACCAGGATTTCCCTATACCAATGAAATCACAAGTCTGAACCAAAGAGAAATTTGTGCAAGCATATGTGTGTATATGTATGTATCTACAATACTATATGCATGTGTGTGCACATATAACTATATGTAGTCCTTTACATGTAATGTTATGCTATACATACTTATGTGCATGTTTTATAGAAGACAGTGAAATAAAAGCAAGTCTTCCTCCAAATCCAAACCGAAGAAAGTTGACCTTGTTCACTTGTTCACCAGTCTTGTGTAGGTTACAAGATGGTTTCTAATGGTAAAAGCGGTCAGAAGTATGTATATCTCATAAGGAAGAAGTCAAAGCAGTTAGCATTCTGAAATAGTTATCTTATAACTGTGAATATATAAATTACATGAAGGCTTATCTCAACAGAATGATTAATTATAATTTTAGTTTATTATTAGATATATGCATTCCTTATTCAAAACAGCTTTTTAATAACTAGAATTCAGTTTTCTTTTATTTACTGTCTTGAAACATTAGGCTGAATTAACTCTGTCAGATTTAGTCATATCAGCTGGAAATGAAGGCACAGTGCCTGATTAAAAGGTCAATCAGACCTTTAAATACATAGAATAATAGTATTGAAGGGCAAAGATGCTATATTAAAAATCTCTCCTTCTAAAAGGTACAACCAATTCTTTTTTGAACTAACATAGTAGAAAATAAATCCTCGTTACTATATTATGTGGAGAATAAGCTCCCAGATGCCTTCAAATTATTAACCCATGTTTTTCTGTGTCTTTCAGTAATTTTTAAATCCTGAAACACCCCCCAAAAATTTCATCCTGCCCATCAAATGTGCATTGACCTCTCCCATACTGAACACTGCATTCCTTCTCCTTCCCATGTCTATTTTCATCTGCCACTCTGCATTTTACCATGTTCAAAGAATGCAGAAAGAAAAATAAATACAGCTTTCCCCTTAAGATAAAATTCCCCTGAAAGTCACACAAAATAGAAATGGAAAGAAAAGATAGACTATATATTAGTCATTTTTTTTTATTAAGCCCACTGTCCAATTTTCATCCAGACTGGAATGATTTCTGTAAAGTCCTGGTATATGAGCCAGTGCATTTTTTCTGACTACCATATAGTGTCCAATTGTATGGTTCAGATTAGGCTATGCATAATTTGTTGGAATAACTTCTCTAATTTTTCCATCACAACAGGTGATGTTATCTTCATTAGAGAAATGCCCTTTCAACCAGTTCAAAGTCTGAGCACAAGAGCAGAGGGGCTTAAGTGCACTAACCATCTATCTACCTTCTGGTGATATAAATCCAAGAGTCCCAGCTGGGGAATCGAACTCTTGATGAGATTACACTTAGTTTCTGGATCTCAGTTATGCTTGCAGGGAATCATTATCCTGAGTGACAGGGAAGCCAGATTCCCCTGGAAGTTAAGGGGGGAGGGGAGGCAAAGAATAGAATTGGAGTTGATCAGCATTGTTTAAGGCAGTCTTCAGTGCTGATGCAGGTGCAAATACTGACAAACAGCATTCTTGTTCCCATGAGGCATGTTGAGAAAACTGCAGCCCCAGCTTCTCCTAACAGGATTTGGAGTAAAAAGGAATTGGGTTCAAATCCTGCTTCTATTACCTTGGGAAAGCAGCAGTTTTCCCATCAGTAAAATAATGGTGTTGGATTAGTTGGCCTTTAAGGTCTCGCCTAGATTTAAATCCATGATCTAACAATAGAACTGGTCCTGTGACCTCGCACATTTAACAAAACGGTCCTATGTCCTAGTCAAAGGAATTGACTTGCCTGACTCTAGCTGTGTGACCTTGCCCGAGTTAGGCACTCAGAGCGTTAGAGTCATGTGTTCCTCTCAGGTTCGTTATGAATATAGTGCTTCGTAAAGCTAAAAGCATTACAGAAAAATATTATTATTCCCATTATTACTGTCAAAGGTCACACAGCCAGTTAGCAGTAAAAAATTACTTTGAAATGAGCTAAAGTACCCCATTGGGCAATCATGATTGCACTAGAAAGTTACATAAATAAATGCTATAAGTGAAATAACCACAATCTATTGTCCTTTATCTTTGATAATATTAGAGTAGATGGAATTTGTATAGTGCTTTAAGGTTAGTAAAGCATTCTGTAACAAAATCATCTCATCTGATGCTCAGTGAAACCCTCTAAGGCTTTCCCGTTGTACAGATGAGGGAACAGCAGCTAAGAGAATTTGTGTCCTACCCATAGACACACAGCTAGGATAAGGGGCAAGATTTGAACCAAGATTTCTAGTAGCTCTAGGTCTAGGCCTATTCACAAAACACTGGGTTTCGTGATTGTACTCATTCATATAGTCCACATGCTTTGTGCTTATTTACCTGTCTTCCTACAAAGGAAAATTGAGCTTTCATATGCCTAGGTTTAATAGAGGAAGCTATAATCCAATCCTAATGAATACTGAAATGTAATTATTAAATATCATGCAGAGTGATATCAGTTTACTTACGAGTAAGAAAAACAATTAAATGCCCACATTCTGTGTATAATCATGGAGGAATATACATACATACATACATACATACATACATACATACATACATACATATATATATGTATATATATACATATATGTGTGTATATATATGTGTGTGTGTATACATATATATGTATATATGTGTATGTGTATATATATATACATATATATATGTATGTATATATATATGTAAAATTGCCTCTGGACACAATGTAGAAACTGAGGCACAAATCTACTACCAATATTGAATGCTGAAATACTTTATGAAGCCAAGTGAGTATTAGACAAAGCCAAAGAAGGCAAACAGGAAAATATGTAAAGTTTACTCAAAATCCTCTGCTGTACCCTAAATAACTACAAAAACAATTAAAAGAAAGTAATAGCTCTACACATGAGTAGAATATAAACTCATTGAGGGCAGGTAATGTTTTCTTTTCTTTCTTTCTTTCTTTCTTTTTGTGTTCTCAGCACTTTGCCCTTAGAAGGTGCTTTTGTTCATTAAATAGAGTCTGCTGATACCTGCAGTAAAATCGTCAAAAAATATGGAAACACATCTATATGAAGATGTAGAGAAAACTAGTGCTCAGAAGCATTGTATGCCTGTAAAAAAAGTCAGCTATAAGTAACCCTGCAAAATAGGAACTAGTGATGCCCAAACTAAAAAATATAATGATATTTACTGTGTTAAGAGTTAGCAGCCCTTAACTTACACATTCAATATGTGAATTTACAAAGATATAAGTAAATATGAAAGTACTCTGTTGTGACTTTCTAAATCTCTTTTGGTTTTCTTCTTGTAATATATCTATCTCTAATACATGTTCATATGCATTAAATACATTTGTCTCATAGTATCTTTGGGTTACATCTTTGTTTTGGCCATTAAAATAAATATTTAAGTTGGATATAACTGTCACTATAGTTATAAAAGGAAATTAAAATCCCTTACTTGGAAGAAAGTCTAAATTTTTGGAAATGAAAATCAAAGAAAAATCAATCAATCAATCCAACATGTTTTACTTAATACTTGGTCATAAGCAATACTCCAAATTTCCAGTTTCTGGATGACCCAAACTTTTAACCTGCCTAATGGGAGAAAACCAGAAGTAAGAGTTTTTAATTAATAGACAATAGCTGGATGTTATTACTGCTGCTCCATACTCCCTAGACTGTTGTCTCTATCACCTCCACTTTTACCACTACTAAGTTGTGAATCAGCACTTAGGAGTGGGGGCGGGGCGGGGAAGTGGGAAAACACATATGAACTCTCTGCAAAGGGCAGATGATTTTTATTCTTTTATTCTGTGATAAAGCTGATAAGCCAAAGAAAGCCATTATAATAGTGATGTAAACTGGGACAGCAGATGATAAAGGGGGAGGGGATGAGTATGTGAGATCAACCACTTCATACCACACCTGCTCAAGTTCTTAACTCTGGCAAAGAGGCTAAGCCATGAAAGTCACTTTGAACAATGGAAATTACTTTTCTCTTGAACTTTGTAACTATTTTATTGAAGTAGATTTGCTTTTTGAAGGAGAAGGGGGTGTCCAATTATCTTTCATTTAATTTTGTCAAAACCATCCAAGAAAAAAACATACGAACTTTAAGTCCATCAAGCAAGTAAAAGCTTTTTTATGGCATTACAAACATCCTAGGTAGCAATAAAAAAAAAAAACTTCTTGAGCCTAGGTAAATAAATTACAATTTGCCAGCATTTACACACATACAGTGTGTATAGTGGCAAGTTCTATTTTATGTATATATGTACATGTATGTGTATGTATGTATGTATGTGTATATGTGTATGATTTATATTCACATTGGGAAAGAGGAATAATTACTTTT